AACAGTGTTAACATCGAATACTTTAGCCAAGTGTTCGTCTATATACAGAGGATTTAACTCCAATGATTTAACCACAAAAGCATCGTTAAAGCTGCTGCCACTAAATATCTGATGTCTGAACATATTTTTACAGTTTAAGAAGTACAATTTAAGTAGAAAGTGGTAAAATAAAAAATGTTTTTAATACATAATTCTGAAATGAATATTAATTATTTGAAAATATTATATTGTCTGATACTTCAGGCCCTCCACAGGGGTCACGACCCCAACGTTGGAAAACACTGCCTTAGTATAAATCTTATAGAAGAACTTTAAACTAAAGAGCTACTTTTTATGAAGCAGACAATCATTCATTTTGTAAACATTATAAAGCCCTGCTGTTAGCAAGCTAGCTAACCCAGTATGTCAGGCTGTCATATCCGACATCATTAAAAGTTCAACATAAGCTGCAGAAACATCTTTGGGGCTGTAGCAGCGCGGTGTGAAATGTCCCCAACAGGAAGTACTACGTAAGGCTCAACACTGCGCGCTTCTCACCCCTGGTGGCAGTTGTTTGCGAGGAAACCGTGTCCTCTTGTTGCTGGGACGATCCTGCTCTCGGGACGTGTTCTCGTGTTTTTCCCTCAGGCTGTCAAAGTACGGATGCAGGAGGAGCTGCTCACAGGTCAGACGCTCTGAGGGATCCATCCTCAGACAGCCCTGAATACACACACACACACACACACACACGTTAGCTCCTCATTTTATTCCTCTGACGACCAACAGTTTAATATTTTCTATTTGTTGTGCCTGAAATCATCCCAGAACTTAACCAGATCCACGATTAAAGGAAATGCAGGAAACACAGGAAGATGAAAATTTAAGACCCAACTTTTAAAAATGTTTTTTTTTTACTCTGGGTTTTGTCATAGTTATAACCTCAAAAATCAGAATTAAAAACCTCTACCTTCATGAGACTCAGAGCTTGATGAGAGAGGTTTGGATATTTCTGCTCCAACGTTTCCTACAAAAACAAAAGAAAACAAGTTGACAGTAAGTTTGTCAAACTCACAGATGGATGGTGTGTGTATGTGTGTGTGTGTGTGTGTGTTTAGAATTCTGAGTCTGATTAGACTAGGGGATTGAGATACATTTGAAATTGATTAAGCTAGGACAGGAGAACAGGTAATGGATTACATCTATGTAAAAAAAAACTGTGTGTGTGTGTGTGTGTCTCACCATATCCTGTGGTTCTGGGATGGAAACTCCACTGAAGAACTGATTGTTGGTGAAAACCTGCTCATGTCGAGGAATCAGGTCTCCTGCAGAGGGAAATGAATAAAAATAAAAAGGACAAAATAAAGATATTTGGACAGAGTACAAAAAAAACTACTGAAAAGTGCTCATTTTAAGTATTTAGTTTTATGCTTAAAAATTAAACTTGAACTTGATAACTTTCACAGAAATAATAAACAACATTTCTATTATATTTGTTGCTTATTTTTTTAGAAGAAAACTGCAAATTAGAGTATAATCTATACTTTTACTCTATTACTTCCGGACGTAACAATTAAAAATAAATATATTTACTTTTTAATTTTAAAGTAAGTCATGTTAAGCTTGAAGTCCTCTCACCCAGAGTCTTCCTGATCAGGTACAGTTGGTCCATGTCAGATTTCCCAGGCCACAGTGGGATTCCTGACAGCAGCTCAGCAAACACACAGCCAATGGCCCACACGTCCACCGGGGGGCCGTACTGAGTGTCCCCCACCAGCAGCTCAGGGGCCCGATACCAGCGGGTGGCCACGTAGTCAGTGTAGTAGTCACATGGACCGGCTGAGGGCACAGAAAACAATTATCTACTAAACATTTAAAAAACAAAGTCTTAAAACTGGATGCTCCAATTCAAGACTGGAACTCTATAATGGTTGGTGCCAACAGTGGCCAGCAGGGGGCACTGCTTCACTCAGTGTGTGTGTGTGTGTGTGTTCACGTCTTACTGAGAATTCTGGCGAAGCCAAAGTCACACAGTTTGATGACTTGATGTTTGGTGATGAGGATGTTTTCTGGTTTGACGTCTCTGTGGATGCACTGAACAAACACACGGACAAAATGTCAGCTAACAGCCGGGGTCAAAGGTCACCTTCATGGTTTCCTGCCTCCTGTCGTACATTGGGATAAAGCTATCTATAGTTTTATATGTATTAGATATATACATCCAGTTATAATTTTGGAGAACTGTAAAAAATAAAACTAAAACAAAATCATATATAAAAAATATATATTAAAAAAGTAAGACATCAAGAAGAAAAATTAGTCACAGCTAAGTGATGTATTTTAGTTACATTATCCAACTAACTAATATATTTTATAAATATATATGTATATATATATATACGGTCCAACATATCAAATCTGATTTATAATTAATGATTTGTGAAACTATATATAGTAAAATGTAATGCAACTGAATTTTGTACACGATTAAAAAATTAATATTTTACTTAAATCACATAAAGGAATGGCAGTATAAAATGTTACAAATGTTTAAGTAAAGGATATTTTGTGTAAAATATGACTTTATCGTTTCAAATCCTGTGAAGATCTCCACTATAAGAACCAAAATAAAAAATCTATTTGGCTAAATCAGCTCCTCCGAATCATCTTTCAATGAAAAAACCAACACATTTTAAAGTGTTTTGAGTCACAGCAGTCAAACTCCTGCACGTACACAGTCTTCACACAGACAGCGTTCTGTCTTTACAGATGCTGTCTGTGTAAAAGCTCAGTGTTCAGACATTTGCTGTGATCAAAGATCCCAGTGTGAGGCTCAGTAGAAACAGGACTTGCTGGGTGTTTTTTTTTGGTATGGAGGTGAAACATTAACTATCACTCAGAAGAGGAGAGGGAGCCATAAATAATGAGTTAGTGGGAGCTGGAGGAGGGAGGAGGACAAGGAATTCCAAAAACAGGGGGAGGATTGTAAAAAAGCTACTGTATCCTCCTCTTCCTCCTCTTCCTCCTCCTCCTCTTCCTTCCCCACAGATCCAGTCACTTACATTCTGTTTGTGACAAAAGTTTACGGCCTGCAGCGTCTGCCACGTGATGCTTTTCACAAGATGTTCTGGAACTCTGGAAGACAAAACACAAATCTCACTGAAAAAAATATATAATTATCAAGTTCTTTAACGACTGTCTTCACTGTTTTTAATAAATATTTGGACCAATATAAATCTTCACTGTTTTTAATAAATATTTGGACAGATTTGCTAACCATTACAATGAGGGTTAGCTCAAATGGTAGAACTTAGCATGAGAAAAACAGCATCCGTCACTGGTGTTTAAGACAAGATTATAAAGTACATCTTTTTGCTCATTTTAGCTTTAGACCATTTCACTTTTTTATAAAGATAATCCTAATCCTAATCTATTGGTTTATCAGTATCAGTGTGACTGATCTTTACTATATTAGTGTGTCTTCCGCTAGCTTTTAGCATTTCATGGCAAACTTTGGGCTTAGATGTTACTGTTTTTACTCGATCAGTGCTTCTGTAATGGACAGCTTTACTGGAGCAGAAAAACTTGTAAACGACTAAAACCAAGTTTATAAAACCCTGAAAAAAGAAAACATTCAAACGTGTCTGCTCCTGTCTCTGCTCCTGTCTCTGCTGCTGTCTCTGCTCCTGTCTCTGCTCCTGTCTCTGCTGCTGTGTTGTTCTGACACTTCTGTCCCCCAGACATTTGCAGACAGTCCTGTCTTTATTTCAGTCCTGATGCTCAACACTAACTCTTTGTTTCTTCCAGGGAAAGTCATCTATCAGTGTTGCCTGGGAAATGGTTAAATGGACCTGACACTGGCCGTTAACCACACTCCACACCCCGCCCCTCGTCTTCTTCACATCTGCTGAAGTCTCTGGGTCCAAGGAACAGAGTTGGGGGGGCCGAGGGGGGGGGGGGGGGCAGACAGCCAAAACACTCCCTATAAAATGTGGCCGAACCGGAGGAGTCCCCGACTGCTCCTCCTCGACAGCAAAGCATTGTGGGACCACAGCATCACTGTAAACATTCCACAGCGAGCAGGTCAGCCTCCCCTGGAGACCAACACTGTGCCCATCACAGTCGGACAAAGCAGCGAGGACGCTGTTCTACATGTGTAATGTAGAAATAATAGAAAGTACACAGCACTTTGTGTAATGGAAAGTAGCCGAAGTAGAGATTTATGTTGTGGGGATTTTAGTAAAACACTGCCAGTGTGTGAGGACAGTGTGTGTGTACAGTTTATGTAATTATGGAGAAAAAAACCCCAAAACACTTGAATTGGGTTTTTATCAGCTGAAGGTGTTACTGTTGCAGAGGTAAAAAAAAAAATATAATCTGACTAAACTAAAATTACTGCTTCTTTATTTTGGGCTTTTGTGTCCATGGGTAGGACATTTCATCATGTTGGGAGCTGACTGGTAAAAAAAAAATCAAGTTCAAAGACCTGGACTCATGCTTGATCGGTTCCAGTGATCCTTTTTTTTTGTCCCTCCGAATATTCAATTAGTACAGATGCTGATGTGACCCTGGGAAAGTCACCTTAACTTACTTATATCTGTACATCTCCAACTTAATCCTTTCACTGCCACCAGTCACCACGTGACACCAGTGGTCCAGTCCATCAAAGGAGACTAATATGGAGACAAACAACCATTCACACTCACGTTCAAACCTATGGTCAGTTTAGAGTGAACAGTTGGTCTAACCCACAAAAAAAAACAAAAAACAAAAAACTCCATACAGTCAATTCAAGATTAATCAACAGATTTGTTACCCCATGGCATTGAACCTGTGACTTTCATGCTGTAAGGCAAGACCACTAACCACTCTTCCACCAAACTGACATCTAAAAACAGGTCCCCTGTCCTTGTCAGACCACAGTAGCAGTAGTTTTAGTGACCCACCCTCTGGGATGTCGGTCCAGTTCGTTGAGGACCGTGTGGTCACAGTATTCAAACACCAGGTGCAGCTTCCGCTTGCGTCGAAACACCTCGATCAGGTTGACCAGGTTGGCGTGTTTCAGTTGCTTCACAGAAAAAAGAAAACATAAAATCAGAAATGAAAGAGAAAAAAAAAAATCCACAGTCAATTATTTCTGCCACTTCATCAGAGGTTAGAACTACGAGTTGCTAAGTTTAAGCTTTTTCGTTAGCTAACATTTAGATATCATGTGGGCTAACTTCTAGATATTTTGTAAATTTCGCTTTTAGATTGTGATCTTTCATCATGTTCTGATAAATTTTATTGGAATATATCAAGTCTTTTTTTGTATTTTTTCTTTTTTTTTTCATATTTTTGGTTTACTAAAGTTAAAATGTTTTGCGCTAACTTTAATGGCCCGTTTTTCCAACATCTAATTTTTGGTTGTCTCTATCTGGAGTTAAGTCTTAACTCATTTTTTTTCATATTTTTGGTTTACTAAAGTTAAAATGTTTTGCGCTAACTTTAATGGCCCGTTTCTTAAGTCTTAACTTATATGTTAGCTAACTTTCTTCTCCTTGCGTTTAAACTTTTGATGCATGTAAAACGTGTGGATCGGGTAAATTGGGATTATCTAATCCAGAATACCTGAAAATATTTCGCACATTAACCCTTTACCTTCATGGCAAACATTATTTACATTTTTAATCCTATTTTCCATGGATTGGATGGTTTCATTAAAAGTTCAAGGACAGTTCCAGACATTTCAAGGACATTTTCACCTGCTTCTAAATTTAGCCTGGAGCTTTTCCATTGGTCCAGTCCAGTCTTTGGTTTGCTCTTATCAAACACACTAAACTGTTAACAGATGGTGATAAACATGCTGTTGCTCATGACAACCGTCCCCATCCTGTCCTATTTATGAGCTGCTGCTGCTGCTGCTGCTGTAGTCCAGCAGGACACACACTCCTCCACCCACTGCATGACTAATTCAACCACCCACCGCTGTAACAAAACAACGGTTTTTGGGGAAATTATGTGGAAAAAATACAGTCAAATAACTAATAACTAATAACTGTTTTCATCCCGGTGAAGATGTTTAAAGACTGGTCTGAGACTAAAACTGACGGTTTGGAAATGACTTTTTTGTTTTTGTGGCTCAAAGACAATAAAATGCACAGAACTTAACTATTCTTATATTTAAAAAATACTACTATAAAATTTAACTCTTAACATTAAGTTACAAAAACACTGCTTGTGATCCTGCAGTGAACAACAGCCACTACATACAGGGCAGCAACAGAACGAAGGTTTGTTCTACATTACAGAGGAACAACTACGGTATAACTTCACAAAAAGAAGTGTATCACAGAATTAGAAGACCATGTGTGTGTGTGTGTGTGTGTGTGTGTGTGTCTTCTTCACCTTGAGCATCCTGATCTCCCTCAGTGCGATCTTCTTGATGATGGGATCGTCCTCTGACTCCACAAACTTCTTGATGGCTACGATCTGTCCTGTGTCTCTGTTTCTGCACTTGAAGACGACGCCGTAGGAGCCTTCTCCAATCTTTCCAATCTTTTCATACTTCTCCATCCTCAAAAAAAAAAGGAGCAAAAATATATCCTCAGTCTGCAGGTTGAACAAGAACAAACACATCAGCAACATCTCAAAAACAGTTCAAATGAAGGTTAGACAAAAGATTTTTTTTTTACAAAAGCTACAAATTAGCTTGATGACCAAAATACTTAACATTAGAAAAACTATAAAGCAGCTAAAAAACAACAATCAGGTTGATTTAGCACAAAAATAATGACGGTTATAAGTAAAAATTCAAATAAATAAAAGCTAACACTTAGTTAGCATTCAAATTGAAAAAGTATGCTAGAACCAAAACAATGTAGTTAGCTGGGCAACAGTAAAAAGTTAGACTAAAAGTTATTTAAATAATATGCTACTTTACATGTGCTGTATGTGTAGCTACCGTTTATACATATGCTACTAAAAAAAAAACAATAAAGCATTTAGTTAAAGGAGATTAGCCATATTATAACCTGTGTAAAAGCAGAAAATATAGCAACATTTGACCCAGTGGTACAAATGTTGCTAAAATGTAACATAAGTAAACAATTGTCAATAAAGTAAAGTAAGACATAATTAAAACCCAAACATGGCTAAAAATAATATTAGGACAAATACCCTTACATTCTCATTTTAGCACAACTTACAGTATGGCACCAGAAATTATTTGACATTTAACTCTAGTCCAACAACAACAAAAAAAAAAAAAAAAAAAAAAAAATCAAACTATTACTTATTATTAACTTTATCAAAATGAACTAAATATGAGCTCATGGAAAAAAGAAAACCTCAGCTGATGTAAACCTGAAAGTTTACATTAGACTCAGGTTAGATTTAACCTCATAAATGTTCAGGACTAAATGCTAATTTAACCTCTGGCTCCGCTTCTCAAAGATACATTTAAATGAACCAAGAGGCAACGTTACACCTGTGTGTGTGTGTGTGTGTGTGTGTGTGTGTGTGTGTGTGTGTACACTGTTAGCCTGAGCTGCCAACACATTTGCAATGCAAACCATATATGAGGTCACATCCCACAGGGATGGAGGGTGAAAACAGATCACACTGAGGAATAAAGGGAGAAAAATCAAAGAGCTGCACTGAAGAGCAGGAGCCGAAGAAATGGTCACGAAATACGAGGAAAATTATTTTAAAGTAAAGCTGGAGGATGGAATAATAAGATGAAAAAAATATTACTCTGCATCTGTTCAAAAAACAGTGAATGCATCCACTTTCACGTTCCTGCAGAAATAAAAGTCAAAAACAGTGAATAAAATGTGTGAACTTACTTCGAGAAGAATCGTCCTCAGGTGTTAATTACTTCTCCTTCTTCTACTACTTTTTCCTCCACGGTGACGATGACGGTGTTCGTGGTCTGACCTCAGCTCAACTGTCTGTGCTCGTCCAGCAGCCTCTGCATTTAAACACAGGCTGCAGCTACAGTTAGTGCCGCTGCAACAACATCCGCTCCACACCTTCAAAATAAAACACATACACAGAACGAGCAACGGAGTCGTTGATTTTTAACGTCCTCACTGACAGACTCTCTGCCATCTTTTCTGAGAAGAAATAAAGAGCGAAATTAGATCAACTTTTCCTTTCCTTTATTCTCTTTTATGCTTTTAGCGTTCAGCAAAATCTAACATTTTTTCCGTTGCAAATGAGTTCATAAGTTTAACCCTGTTTTTTTTTATTCTTGAAAGACATACATCGTACATCCGGTGGAGTCACTGCTGTTTTCTCTTCATCTTTCATCACAGAAACAAAACAAGAACTCTGAGCTCCACCTTTAAAGTCAGGATTCCTCTGAGGTTTTGTTACTGTGACGATTACTACAAATTAAAATCACAGGTTAATGTGACGGTTCAGGTGTGTTTGAGTCACACCACTGAGACGCAAATAAACAAAAGAGGAAAAGTTTACTCATTCAGTCACAGTGAGACCAATTAGCACCGACTGCTGATGTCAGAGGAACGACAGACTAAAGAGGGGAGATCTACAGCTACTTCAATACCCCCCCCCCCCCCCCCCCCCCCCCCACTAGGGACTCATCTCCAGAAATAAACCCAGCAGCCATGTCATCATGTTAACAGCATATTTTTTATTTAAAAAAACGGCATACATTAAATCATTTAGTCAAGGGAATGCGGAAGATGTTAAACAGAAAAACACAAACTACCCTTGAGCATCGTCCCTCATTTTGTTGTTTTATTTTAAATTAAAAAAAGGAAAATGTACAAAAGTGCTTACATGGTGCAAATAATGAGAATTAAAAGGGACTATAAAAGAAAAAAAACACACAGAGAGGTTAAAAATGTACATTATATCCAGAGGTTTGAGACAAAAAAAGGAGCAGAAGCTGTTGCTGCTGCAGAAGAGGGAGGGGTTCTACTGGGTGGTGACGCGCCGTCATGGTCTGGGATTCAAACATACCCTATTAATGAAGATGAGGTTAATAAATATTGCTTTAAATAACCCACCTATCTGCTGGGTCTCTGTACAAACCAATGGATTAATTTGTCTACAAAGTTTAAAAAAAAAAATCTTGACCCTGGTTATAAGATTAATGACACTGATGACAAAAACAAAACACCCTAACCTCCCAAGGATTTCATACAATCACATACAGTATATCTGTGAGTACGGTTTTCATGGCACTTGATTTTCTGCTATAATACCTGCAGATGACTCTCTCTGTGTGTGTGTGTGTGTTGACAGCACGGAAAAGTCAGGAAAATGTAACGTGTATTTCTTGAAGTTGTTCTGCTGGTTTTTTTCGAGGATCCTCACGACTCCCGTCTTCAGGACTTTTCCTTTTGTTGCCGTTTCCACTGACCTGTCTAATCGGTAACAGGAACTCCAAAAGACACTTTGTTTTCTATTATTATCCCACATCTGAGATGTCTCCTGCCTAACTTATTCTCAGACCTGTCCGGTCTGCGTCAGGGGAAGTCAGTAACTGTTCTCGTGACCTGCTAATATGCAGAGGTTGCTCAGGGCCGTGGGGTTGTCCGTGGGTCGGCTCTCCAGAACCACAACTCTGGGGAAGGAACAGGACCCAAAGAAGAACAGTTAAAAGTTGTTTTCTTAAATTGGAATATTTTACCATTTTCATTGCTTTGTTAAAAAAGTCAGAGGACAAAAACAGCAGGATCATGCTAAAAGCATTCAACCAATAACAGGAGAGAAGTGGTTTTATGGTGGACGAGCACACTGGAGTGAAGAATGGCATTATGGGAACAGATCACATGGTGGGAAAAGATTCTGGGATTTGTTTTCTCTAAGTTTTCTACAAATTAAGCGGAGATCACTGCGAGTGGATTCAGGTCAAGAAAATCACACACCACATTATATTTAAGAACTCTTTGAGACACAGAGGATGGAACAGTTCCAACTGCAGTGACAGTGTGACCTCAGCCTCAGGTCAACAACACCTGTTTGTCGGTGCACTTTTAACGACTGTTAAAAGTCAGTTTGGCTGTGATGATGTCACATCGGCAGCAACGTCATGTGGCATTAGACTGGTGATGGTGGTGTGACAGCTGAGCGCAGAAGCTCCGCTCCATACTGTCCTTTCCCTCAGATGAAATTACAGAGGCAGGAGAGTAGGAAAAGAGAGAGCAAGAGAGAGAGAGAGAGACTCACCCTGACCAAACTGGCAGTGCCTGGGCAGTGGTGAATAAAACATTGAAGAGGAGGAGTAAGTGGGCAGAGAGAGAGGGAGAGACGTGGAGTCAACAAACCTGACTGACATCTACGCTGAGGAGAGAGTATGTGTGCACTGAGCATGCTCAGTCAGTGTCTACAAGCGGAAGTAAAATCCTACCCTGTGCCAATCGCGCCCTTCATGACATCATCACTACAGCCGAGATGTTTCACGGTGTATTCCAGTGATTGAAACATAACTGTCGGCCATGTTTATAGTCAGGAGAGTAAACGTTCAAATGTGGACATTGTACGTTTGCATATACGTTTACACAGCACCGCCTTCAGCCATGAACCTGATTAAAACACATTACGCTCAACGTTAAGTACGTGTCTTTCCTGCGTCCTCTCCGTTCAATACGTGAGGAATTTTGTACTTTTTCACGTAGCTACCCCAACGCATCATCATCGTCACAGAAAACTGACGCCAAGCCTGAAAAAAAACAATAGTGGAGTCAACACCGCCCCCTAGTGCATGTGCTGATCAACAATCATGCCAAACATACATATGTTGTATGTGGTCAGTGATGTGTGACACAGACGTAAGCATTCATGTATATAAAGGGAGAAAAAAATGAGGAAGAATTTTAAAAAATATTTCTGTATCTATTTGCTTTTTGAGAATCGAAAAAAAGAAGGATCGATCAATGAGGACAGGCATCGAAAAAAAGAAGGATCGATCAATGATGTTTCATCACTGATGTTTCCATCACTTGAAAACATCAGTGATGGAAAGTGATCAGAACAATCAGCCTGAGACAAAAACATGTTTGTGGGTCAGGGACAGAGGCTGCAGCTCAGTGAGAGACACATCTGTGTGAACAGCAGGAGGTGAAGCAGACTGCGTGATGGTTTCCAGGTAGTAGAGAAAAACACAGAGACCTGAGGGAGGACAACTATTACCACCAGTGTGTGGTTTCATGGAAATTGTCGGAGCTGATAGATTATGCAATCAGTAATTACAGAGAGGAAGAAAACAGGAAACAGAGAGGACAAAAAAAACAGAGGGGCTGTGAACCTTCAGAGACGTCTAAGATCGTTGGAGTTTTGGTAGAACTCCTGCTGTTCTGCCCTGTGATGTGGTTTAAGATTAAAATATCGCTGTTACTCACCTGTCAGAACCCAGGAGACGGAAAACTCTGCTTGGATCACAAATCTCCTGGGTCACCTGAAAAACAAAAACAAAAACAGGAATTAATACGAAAAAAGATTCATTTCTGAAATTATAAGGCCTTGGAAGCCAGTTTGGTTTTACATTCCTTAGAACTCACCAAAAAGGTTTATCTTATTGGACTCTGATGGGTCTGACTATTAGCACAGTGTGATACATGACTATTTTATTGACTGATGAGATTTAATTTTGAAATGTGTGTCTCTAAAGGCTTGAAAATATGACATTATCTACATTCACTTAGATTCTGCTAATATTAAATGTAAAACCTTCTACCGACTGGCAGTAGTCATTTTGGATAATTCAGTAACACTGAACTACACTGGTCCTCTACTATTAGTTAGTTAGTTGCATTCAAAGCGAAATGGGAAAAATCGCGAAACAGAGGCGAGATAGTTATTATATTATTTACGTATATATTAACCCTTTACGAACCCTCCCCAGACTGCATTACCCAGACTTTCCCACACAATTACATGTAGGGTGGCGACGGAGAGCGAAGTGAACGAGAGAGTGACCGACAGACAAGGGGAGATGCTGAGAGATGATACGATGCATGAGCCAATCAGTGTGAGGAACAGAAGAACATGCTCAATAGTACACCGAGTACGCATCGTACTCGTACACTCAATAGTACACCGAGTACGCATCGTATTCACCATGCGTATGCTGCGTACGATCTCGTCTGGGTAAACAAAGCTACCAGCGACCGTTCGCAAATGGGCTTATCTCAATTTCAAAACCAGAATCCACATTTTTAAAGCAAAAAAAAAAAAAAAAAAAAAAAAAGATTGGATTAAAAAAAAGAGGGAGCGAAAGGAGAACTATTACGTTAACCCTTAAGCACGGCTGCATTAATCATCGGCTAAAAATGGTTGGTGTACAGCTGTAGTCACAGGTGATGGAGCTGTAAACATTTACACACAGGATGAAACATTAATAATGTGGTCCTGGTGTCAGTGTGTGTAGGATAAAAAATGTCAGACTGGTGTGTGTGTGTGTGTGTATTTAAATTTTATGTGACGAATGTTTACACTGAGATCAAGGCTACAACGACCTTTGACAGAAAAAATGTCATCATGTTTTGTAACCGATTGTATTCAAGGGAGTGAATGTGTGGTCTCCAGGCACTCTCTCTCTCTCTCTCTCTCTCTCTCTGTGTGTGGTGCCGTGCACAATCCTGGTTGTTTTTCCTGTTTCAAGTCACAAGGTGTAGCCTGACACTCAGGAGTGACAAAAACACAAAAACAGGCTGTGATGTGTGTTGACACGACATGAAAACGTGCGGAGAGACGATGGAGAGATAGACGACGGCTGACACCTGCCAGGTGTAAGTCCTTGGCCTGGGGAGAGATCTGATCTGTTCCAAGTCTAAATGAGAACAAGGTCTCAGGTGTTTCCAGAGGAGCACCCACCACGGCAGGCATGGATCAACAATGCCTTCGCTTTTTTGCAGGGAATCATAACCAGACGCCGGCTGAATTATTTAGCGCCGCTCCCTGTTGCGTGACGGCTTTCGTTTATGACGGAGCATAAATGTTGCATGGCTGCTGACATTACAAAAAAAGTCGACCTTCTGTGTCGGGCTGAGTGCATATGACATCGACGGGGCTCTTAAAAAAGGTCGACCCCTGCCACTGTATCGCCTTCCATAAAAACAGAAGCGTCTCACCTCCCTGTGATCTCCTGAACTTTCATTGTGCTGCTGACCCCGCGGCTCGTGATCACGTGAACACTAGCTCTCCTCTGTGACACAAAGAGGGTTAATCTGCTGCCATCACTACAGCGTGTCACCGCGCATAAAAGCAGACGACACTCAGGCTCTTTGTGCAGCCCGGTCAGAGGTGTTTGTTCACGTGTGGGACGACAACGATCGCATTCATGTCGGCAACGCAAGTCTCTGAGCTGTTGTCACATTAGAAGGATTAGAAGATTAATCAATGACTAGCTAATGACTTAATCAACAACTGCACATCTTAAAAGTTCTTTTATAGAAATAGAAAAATTACTTGATTCAACTTTTAAGTAATTTTCACAGCTTGAGGAATGAGAGAAAGTTAAAGAATTTTATTTTTGTCGTTTTAAGGCCAAGTTAAGATTAATAACAATAGTCCTATCTATGTCTCTTTGGGAGCTTCTGGCCTGGTAGTTAGAGTTGGCTGGTGTGAACCGTAGTGTTGAGCGAAAACTAAAAAAATGTTTGTGTTCCGTGGGGGCAGTAAGGTGTTGCCAACTGCAGCTGTTTCATGGATGGGTTAAACACAGAGGATGCATTTTATTCAAATCAATAAAGGATCCATTATATAATAATAACAATGAATTGAACTTTTTTTTAAATAAATGCAGCCCAGATCTGTCAACTTCAAACCAACTAACACTTAAAACCTAAAACAGAGATGTCAACTATTTACAACATTTCCAGTTGTTGACAGGGTAACTGTCAAGCCCCTCAGCCTCCTCCCAAGTCCACACTTTCACAGCCTCCTTCAGATCAGCTCTGAAATGTATTTAAAAAACTGTAGTTTCTACAAAAACTGTTTTAAATGAAAAAGGGGGATGCATTTTATTCAAATCAATAAAGGGTCCATTATATAATAATAACATTAATGAATGGAACTTTTTCTAAATAAAATAATTTTTAAAAAAATGTTTTAAATGTAAAATGAAAATAAATCAAGTGAAATCAGTGCAAGTAAAACTTTGGCAGTGAGTATCATTTGCCCTGCATTACCCCAGTGCCCC